CCCAAATCAACACCTTAACCCAACATCTACAACAATTCAAAAAAGAGCAGAAAAAAAACAACCTACAGTCACCAGAAGAAAAGAAATAAATAAGGTTCCAAGCAGAAATAAATGAAACAAAATAGACAATAGAAAAAATCAACAAGACTAGAAGTTGGTTCTTTGAAAAGATTAATAAAATCAACAAACCCCTGGCAAACTTAATAAAAGAAAAGAAGAAGATGTAAAATAAAGTGAATAAGAAATGAAATGGTCAATGTCACAATAGAACCAACTAAAATAAAAAGGATAATATCAGTATACTATGAAGAATTGTACTCCAACAAATTTGAAAACCTAGAAGAAATGGACAGATTTCTAGAAACACATTATTTAATTAAACTAACACAAACTGAGTTGAAAATTTGAACAAACCCATAACAAAAGAAGAAATTGAATAGGTCATTTAAAAAAAATACCAACAACCAAAAGTCCTGGCTCAGATGGTTTCACTGGAGAATTCTACCAATCATTCAGAGAAGAGCTGACACCAATCCTACTCAAACTGTCCCAGAACACAGAAAAGGATGGAATACTCCCAAAATCATTTTATGAAGCAAGCATAACCCTGATACCAAACCCAGGCAAGGACACCACTAAAAAGCAAAACTCCAGACCAATATCCCTCATGAATATACACGTGAAAATCTTCAACAAAATCCTAGCCAATGGACTCCAACAACATATCAAAAAAATAAGACCTCATAACCAAGTGGAATTCATACCAGGTATGTAAGGATGGTTCATCCTTAGAAAAACAATCGATGTAATCCATCACATAAGTGAAATAAAGAAAAAGAACCACATGATTATATCAATTGATGTAGAAAAGGCATTTGATAAAATACAACACCCATTCCTGATCAAAACTCTCAGCAAAATAGGAATAGAAGGGACATTACTCAACATAATAAAGGGCATACATCCAAAACCAACAGCTAACATTATTCTCAATGGAGAGAAACTGAAAGCATTCCCCTTGTGAATGGGAACCAGACAAGGATGCCCTCCATCACCACTTCTATTGAACACTGTACTGAAAGTCCTAGCCAGGGCAATAAGGCAAGAAAGACAAACAAAAGGCATCCAAATTGGTAAGAAAGAAGTAAAATGATCCCTATTTGCTGATGGTATGCCCCTATACCCACAAAGCCCAAGAGCCTCAGAAGAAAACTACTCGAACCAATGGAAAGATTTCGCATAGTGGCAGGATACAAGATCAAAACACAAAAATCACTTGGATTCCTCTACACTAGCAAAGAGGTCTCTGAAAAGGAAATAAGGAAATCAATACCATTTACAGTTTTGTTGTTAGGTGCTGTCAGCTACCAAAAAGATAAAATACTTGGGAATAAATCTTACCAAGGACACAAAAAGACCTATACAAAGAAAACTACAAAACACTACTTCAAGAAACCATAAGAGATCTACATAAATGGAAGAACATACCATGCTCACAGATAGGAAGACTGAACACTGAAAATGTCAATACTGCCCAAAACAATCTATATATTCAATGCAATCCCGATCTAGATTTCATCAACATTCTTTAAGGACATGGAAAAACCAATCACTAGTTTTGGGCATAGTGTCTAAGGCATTTGACTGCCAACCAGAAGGCTGGTGGTTCAAACCCATCAGCCACTCCCTGGAATGAAGGTTGGGAATCTACTTCCATAGTGATACCGCCTTGGAAATCCAATGAGGGGTTGCTATGAGTCGGATCCGACTCAACAGTAGTGAGTTGAGTAAGAGTTTTGTATGGAAACCAAAGAGCCCTTGGATAAGCAAAGCACTACTAAAGAAGAAGAAAGTGGGAGGTCTCATACTCCCCAATCTCAAAACCTATTATACAACCACAGTAGTCAAAATAGCCTGGTACTGGTATAGTGACAGACACATAGACCAGTGGAATAGAATTGAGAACCAAGAAATAGATCCATCCACCTATGGTCAGCTGAGGAGCTCTGGTAGCATAGTGCCTAAGGCACTTGACTGTTAACCAGAAGGCTGGC